GCCCCTCATCCTGTGTTTAGCTACAAGACCATCCTTCCTTTCAATATTTTTGGCAGGTTGAGAGTGGACAGAATCTGACAATAAAACTTTGGGGCTGATACCCTTCTTTTGTAAAATGGAGTTTCCTGTATTTTTGTTCAAATCCTGTCTCCTTCATAGAAAGCTTTATCCCTTATTTTCATAGGCAGATTAAATAGCCACTGACCCTAAACTCAAGGCCAAGCTAACAGAGTGCCAGTCCTTTTGCTCCCTGCTTGCTTGCTCTGCAAGAACAGCCTAACTCTACTTCCAAGTAATGCCCTTCTGCCTGACCAGGGACTAGAGGTTTAGGGGCACACAGCATCATCCTTTGTTTCCCTCCAGAAAGGTGGTCAACTTCAATTTCCATAAAGAGTCAACAGCAGAGGACTTTTACCCACTTTTTAATTTTAGTTCCCAAGCACCAATTTCCATGGAAACAGACCACTCTGAGACAAGGTAAAAATGCTGACTGTTTGAAAAATCCATTTCACTTACCTGACATAACTGTTGCTATGGAAACAAACCAGCCATCTAGCTTTGCCCCAGCAGGAATTCCTGCTCGTCAATTCTGCTTCAAACTGCTACATTCAAAGGTCCTAAATGGGTTATTAATAGTTATATGCAACCTAACCTGGTTTTCATTAAAGAAAAGTAACAAAAAGCATTTTCATTAAACTCCTTCCAGTTATTAGGCCTGCTCCAAACTTAAGTTTTCCCTGTACGGTTATTTTTGTTAGAGGAGTAAAGTTTTTTTTAAATCTAGTTATACCAGTAAAAGTCCTTAGGTAGGCAAAGTCAGACCTGTAATAATGTGACTTTTACCTGGACAATACATGTGACTATAGCCCAGTGTAGAGATACCCAGACCAGGAGGTAAATTAACCAACGCTGAGCTTATTCCATGATGCCATGGCCAGACTGGGCACGTCTACACGTGCATTAATGTGCTTCAGATAATGTACATCAAATCTGGTACCCCCATGGTGAGGTAGAAAGAAAATGCATATTAGCTCGTCTTAATGTGCATTAACTAAAGAGCATAGGGCACTTTTACATGTACTCTGGGGGTGGGTGGGAGTGATGCTTTAATTAGAGCGGCTGTGAGAGCCATGCTAATTAAAGCACCATTGCGCCTCGTGTATCAGCATCTCTGCGCTTCAAAATGGTGGTGGAGGTGCTTGAGCAAGCTTTAGTTCAACCACCCTTGTTGCCATTTTGAAGCACAAGGATGTTGACATGGGAGGGTGCTGGAGCATGGTAATTACCATGCTCCAGCAGACACAATTAATCGAGTCCGCTCCAACGCACTATAATTGTAGTGCACTGGAGCAGCCTCCACATTTGTGTACAGGCACCCATGGTTTTTAAGTGACGCTTAATGAGCATTAGCCTATTTTAGTTACCATACATTAAATAGCACTTTTTTAGTGATGCTTTAATGCACATTAAAACAGGCTAACATGCATTAAAGCACCCACTGTTATCAGTATCCCAAGCCAGCTCATTTAAAGCCATGAAAGTGGAGCCAGTGGGACAGCCTTCCATCTTCAGCTCCCTCTGTGCAAAAATGAAATTTATTTCCTACCTATGGGGACTTTTTACCATCTTGTACCATCTATACTTTTCCCAGAGCCTGACAAAGGGGTTTTGATCCTGAAAGCTTGCAGAAAAGGACAATTTTCTTATGATTTCCCATTTGGTCTAATAAAAGGTATCATTTTGGAACCAAGAGTTCTAGTTTTTTGGAAGTCTTCTCGTCTCAGACCAACACGTCTACCAAGTACACCTCTAAGTCAGCCCGCTAACTCATATAAAAATTAGGAATGACCCCATCTTCAGCAGAATTATCCATGAGTTGAGTAACTCACTCTAAGGACATACCCTTCTGCTTCCCTGTTTGATTGACCAAGGGAATGATTTACAAACGCAGTGTATCAATACATGCTGCTAAACCAGGTTCTAGTAACTGGGTCTTCCAAGTCTTACCTGATTTTCTTTGAAGAGACCCTCCCAGCCCACCTTCAGGGCTTTGTTACTAATACCCAAATTGCACAAGAAATGAATGGGGGATCAGAAAGACTTGAAAACAGTGCCTGTGCTCACACAAGACAGAGCTCAAAAAATAGGCACTTGGGCTTCCAGGCAACCTCTCCCTGCGAATCAGGCATTTCAGAAGTCAAGGCAAGAGATAATCAAAGGCCCAGACTTTGATCACAAGTGCATAACTAATGCAGTACACAAAGCTTCCCCATCCTATACCCAACGCAAGCTGCATCGGTACAGCTAGCATAATAAAGTCCTTTCACGGGGTTCAAGTTTATTTTAAAATCAAGGCTCAACGTGAAGCAAATCCAGACAAGCTCTCTCCCCTCTCAGGCAGAGATAGCTGGTGATTAGCATGTGATGTACCTGTCATAAAGGATTAAATGGCATCCAACCACTTTCCCCCAAAACTCTCCCCCACACATGCCCAACACATTTCTCCTAGGACAACAGCAATTGAATTGTTACCACTAGATGGGGCTGAAACTAAACATCCCTAACCATCTCTCAGCTTTTAAAAGAGGAACTTTTTTAGAGCAGTTATAATTAAACCTGATTTTTTCTCCTATTTTATTGACTCACAACCTGTCACACTGTGCTTCTGAGAGTCAGCCATTCTTATAAGAGAAAGTATCAAAACTATCTAGGAGACTTTACTAGCCTTCCTCTTGCATCTCTTCCTAAGCAAGCACATCTTTTTGCACCTGTCTGGACACATGCCAATTGAGCTCTGAGAAAGGGGTATATAATGCTGAATGACAAATGGCAAGAATACTAGGAATAGCTGCTGGAAAACTGGTTGTCAGACCCCACAGTAGATAGGGAAGCAACAGGTGAAGTAGTGAGTCATACATAGGTTTATACTCAGGACAGATGCACCATCTCTGCCTTTAAGGCTAAGTTTGCATGCAAATACCATATATTTCATCATGCTTGTTAGTTCACTTATATCCTACTTAAGCTATGTCTTGGAATGAAGTCTATAATGGAACATCAAGCTGCAGACATAATACGCACACTGCCTACTTGGCCTTCTCTCTTTATCTTTGTGGTTTATTTTGGTCTGCTTTGATGATCCTTATAGGGCGGAGGGGGTGTGTGCAAAATGTGGCCCAGGGGCCAGATGCACCCCACCAGGCCATGCTATCCAGCCCACAGGGCCCCTAAAAAGTTTAGAAAATTAATATTAATCTGCCCTGAGCTGCCTGTCATGCAGCCCTCAATGGCTTGCCAAAACTCAGTAAGCAGCCCTCTGCCCAAAATAATTGCCGGTCCCTGTTACAGGGCTTTACCACTCAATCTGGTTCTTGGGAGTCCTACAGAGGAGAGGAGACAACAAAGAGAAGTCTTATGGAAGAGAAGGGACAAACGAGAGAAGTCACGTTCAGCACTTTCTAATATTTCCAAGTTAAGTGCTTTTTCCTTTGTTACATAGCACAAGCTATGTTTCTGGGCTACGTGGTGATTCTGCACACATAGGTACCAACAGTTGCCAAAAATGCCATCATTTGTCTGCATAGCATAAAGGCTGTGTTCCCTCCTGTTGGATGGTGACCTGGGTCACCGTGATACATGTCTGTTTAATTTATAGACTAGGTTGCTGCCACTGTCTACATGGAAACTTCAGCCTTTTTTTAAAGCAAGCCCCTACATGATGTAGGCTGCAGTAACCCATCTAATTTATAGCACCAGCCACCAAGGGCAGGTTACTCCTTTGTTCTACTCACCGCACTTTTTATATGAGTTAGTGGGCTGACTTAGGGGTGTACTTGGTAGATGTGTTAGTCTTAGACAAGAAGACATACAAAAAACTACAACTCTTGATTCCAAAATGATACCTTTTATTAGACCGAATGGGAAATCATAAGAAAACTGTGCTATGTAACAAAGACAACCAGGCTTACATGTTTAAATATTGAATGGCAGTAGTATGTGAACTTTGGCATTCAAGAAGTTAATTATTCTTGATCAAATGTCTTACCCATCATCACTCTTAGTGCTAGCATTCTTCCAGTGTTGTTCCAGAGTCTGCAGTCCCATCCAGACACAATTATGGGACATCTGGCTTTCTCAGCTGCAACAGGAATGCAGAACAGGCAAAAGCCTAAGAAGATGGGGGAGATGAGGGATCCTGTTTGGATATCATAGCTTTGGCATGCTGTTTTCCAGAACCCCTACTTTCATTATTCACTATCCATAATATCCATTGCTATTGCAGAAAGTAACACCTGATTTATGAAAACAGAAGAAAGATTTGGGTCAGCCAATACTTGCATCTACAGAGCATACAATATGCTGAGAGATGCAAAGATATTTTACAAGTCACAGGCTTTGTCATTTATTGGCAGCATTAGCTGGGGACTTGAGACCCCACTCGTGGATCAGACACTATTGTCCCCAAACCTCTCCTTCGGGGGTGGCTTCACAATGGAATACACACAGACATGCTGAGACATGGAACAGACAGCTGGGTACAGTGCATGCAAGGTCATTATCAATATATTTAAAAAGAAGTAAAAGGATGTGTAAGCATGACATTGGTCTGTTAGCCAGCAACATGATTCCTGAGAACAGGCTACTACAACCAGTTTTCTCTTTTGGGCTGGTAGGACGTACGCACAGAGGTGCTATCTGACTGCACTCCTGCGTGGTGCTAGAATCAAGGAATGACAACTACCCCCATGGAGTTCCTTCCCAACTTCACAGTGTCACTCCTTCAGGGAGCCTGCGTCTACTAGGCTATGGTGGATGCAGCTGGGCCAGATAAGGCACGGCTTTTACTGTTTCACAGTTCCTGTATATTCTAGTTCCTGAAATAGAAATCAGCGAGGGCTTTAAAGCAATGTGTACAGCTTGTCCTTCTTGGGAACCAGGTGGGACAAATGGCACTTTGTCTCCTAAAATGCTGTCTTCCTTTGGTTTACTTCAGCCTAAGATGCACTTCTCCTTGTGTCTCAACTCCTACTTCTTGGCAAAGCGATTATGGGGTCAAATTCTGTCCAGAGCCCAGCAGACAGTCTATATCTTGTTTTCTTCCTTTAGAAAGCTGTGTAGTGCCTTTCCATAGTGCTGACAATATCACTGTTGCTCTCCAACAGTTCCAGGACACGATGCATCACCTCCTGTGTCAGATAAGGGCTGTAGCTTTGCCGAACAGAATCCAGGACATGGAGGAAATGGCAACCCTTTTCAGCATCTGCAGAAACAGAGCAAAAATGCAGAAGCCAAAGGGTGGAAGGAACCAAGTGAGGTTTCCAGTTGTTTCAGATCAGCGATCAGGTAGGCTGGTTACACATATGCCACTAGATAAAAGGCTAGAGCAGAGACTGGGAAATATAGAAGGAAGAGGGTCCAGGGTCTGAGTTTACAATACTGACACTGGCAAAGACTCCCACTTCATTGGGAAATCTCAGCATCAAAGCTAAAAAAAAAAAAAAAAAATCATCATGAGAACATGAGCGAGTTTTAGCAATAAGGCTACTGGAGAAGACAACAAGCATAGATATATGAGGACACACATTTTAATGGTCTTGATGGTTATAGGGTCCTCACAGTCCCTACAGCTCCCATTCACTCTGCTGAGAAGAGAGCAAGTGAAACTGGACTGAGCTTGAAGCACCTAAGGAGAGCTATTTAGACAAACCAATGCAACTAAACTAGTAGTGATTCTTTATCCAATGCTGACATCTTCTGGCCAAACATTTGCAGTTCATCAATTCTGTATGTTCAAAGCATGGACCCCTGGAGCAACTGCTTCAGGAGGTTACAAAACTCTAGTCTTGGGGGCTACTACTTGCACATTCCCAAGAGGGGCACAGAAACACTTTGCACCTAAAAAGCTGCAAGAGAAACTCAGAATTTTAACAGCCGACATGCAAAACCTAAAACATTCCAAGGAGTGGCATTCATTGTCCTGCTTCCTAAGGCAAAACCTGCATGATGCCTGATTAAATTGTCATAAACAGGGGTTCCCCTCATATGGACCATGGAATCATGATGGGAATAAATCCCCCTTCCCAAGCTGCCAAGGGCTGCAGTAGTATGGAAGGCTGCCACATACTTCTCCTGCAAGAAAGATTTGACTGATTTAGCAGTGTCATCGGAGCCATGCCCAGAACACCTTCCTTGCTCACTCTCTCAGATGCCTAATGAAATGAAGAAAGTGTCCCACAACAGATCAGGTTTCTCCTGATGTGCTAATGGAAAAAAGCATGAAAACGGGAGGAAGAGTGCATATTCATGCACAAGGGATATATTTGGTAGCTGTGTTAGTCGGAGACAAAAAGAAATGCAAAACTCTAAAACTCTTGGTTCAGAGACGATTCCTTTTATCAGACCAACTAAGAAATTGCAACAAAAAATAAATAAATAAAATAAAATAAAAAATCTTTGCAAGCTTTCAGGCCCACACGCCCTTCTTTAATTTTTATCTTTAATTTTCCCTGAGCCTGAGGAAGGGCATGTGGGCCTGAAATCTTACAAAAAAATTATCTTTCTTTGCAAGTTCTTAGTTGGTCTAATAAAAGGAATCATCTCTGAAGCAAGAGTTTTAGAGTTTTCCAACCATTCACACTTAGCACATACAAAAGCACAAGGTTCTCTTCTGAGCTCAGTGACAACAAAAAAGGCTAAAGCTGGAATGCAGAGGAACTACAGCCCCCAAAACAGCAGAGGATGTTTTCCCCAATTCCAGAAGGTCTGGAGTCTGCTGCTGGAATAAGTCATCCTTTTAAGTACAAGAAACAGAGTTGTGAAGGTGACTATTGTGTGGCTGCTCTGAGAAGTCAGCTAATGGTTCCTACACACAGGTACTATTTTAGATAGTGTAGTGCAGTGCCATATAGAGCATTAACTGCTGGTACCTTGAATTGGACCCAACTTTCTATGGGGAGTCAGTGCAGTGAGTAGAACAAAGAAGTAACCTGCCCTTGGTGGCTGGTGCTATAAATTAGATGGGTTATTGCAGTCTACATCATGTAGGGGCTTGCTTTAAAAAAAAGGCTGAAGTTCCCATGTAGATGGTGGCAGCAACCTAGTCTATAAATCAAATAGACATGTATCACAGTGACCCAGGTCACCATCCAACAGGAGGGAACACAGCCTTTATGCTATGCAGACAAATGATGGCATTTTTGGCAACTGTTGTTACCTATGTGATGGCAGCATGCCCTTCAAAAAAAAAAAAAAGAAAAAAGTCTCCTCTTCCTTCTTGAGTTCAGTTTTTCTTTACATGCTGTTGTCAGGCAGGTGAGACTGGCAGCTATTACAGTAGTACTCTCTCATAATCAGAACTAAGAAGTACACAGCTATCAGTCATTTGCCCAATGTTGACATTTGATAGACCAGGGGTGGGCAAAATATGGCCCATGGACCAGATCTGGCCCACCAAGAGATTTTATCTGGTTTCTGGCGGCTCTGCCTGCATGACCCCAGCGCAGGAGGAAGCCTGGGCTGTGGTACGTGAGGTTAGTATTGCTGCCTCCAGGCACATGGTGGGGTGAGTGTGGCACAGCAGCCAGACTCTCTTCTACCACTGCCAGTCCACCCTGCATCCACCACTGGGAGCACTAGAAGGAGAGGGTGGGTGGGCAGAGTCTCCCAGGACCTGAGCAGGCAGCAGCATGGAACTGGCACCCATTTGCAGAACGTGCAGGGAGTAGATCACGGCTTTGCCCTGGGCCCTGGCCCTGTGCTGTCACCGCCCCATGATCCCTGACCCCACCCACCTGTCCCACTCCTCATGCACCCGCAGACCCATCCCATCTGCCTGGCCAAGCACATCCTGCCCACTGGAGTCCCACGATGTTCTCCATGGAGACCTTGCCTGCCCGTCCTCTCCATCCAGCAGTGGTTGTGGGGTTGACTGGCAACAGCAGCCAGGCAGAGTCCAGCCACTGCCCCACCTTGCCGCATGCTTGGGGGTGACAGGACTGGCCACATGTGCCATGACCTAAGCTGCCCCCCGCACCTGGGATGGGTGGGGCCAAGAGTCCCACTACAAACCAGATAAAATCCCTTGGCAGGCAGCCAGATTTAGCATGCAGGCCATATTTTACCCACCCCTGATGTAGATGCTGACAACCTGGCTGATAAAACACAACCTTGGTCTTCAATTGAGCATACAGATACAGTAGAGAAGACTAGGGGACCAACCAGTTTCTATTGGCCAGACCTTCATTTTGTAACTCCTTTCCCGAACAAGCTTTGACAACTCTCTCACTGTGTTTAAGCCCATGCCAAACTGGCCTCTCAAAGAGTCTTTGTTGCAGACTGAATCATATGGGATTAGAATTAATTTTGTGGACCAAGACTGTTACTCAGGCATATTCCAGCAAGTCTTGCAGCACCTCAGTTAATCATGTTCTAGAATTTGCATATTATCATATGCGTTTGTCAGTTTCAGGCAAATGGTTTATGATTTATCATTTATCACTTACAAACTAACCAGACAAGACAATCTGCCTTTCAAGTTTGCAGAGAGGTAACCTTAACTGATAGGAAAGAAGGAAGTTCCCAATGTTTATAGTCCTTTAACTCACAAAATATGATCTTTCATCTGAGGTATTAAACTCTAATAATTAGAGACTTCAAGTCACCTCACTTAAAATCCACTCACATCAGAATCCAAAGAGGTTTGTTTGGTTTACCACTTTGCCACTAGAGGGCATCCAAGAGCTGGTATCATGCACCCTAAAGGTACATCATGTCCAACACTGAACCCCAAGTTATTTTAGTACATAGCTACTTTATGTGGCTATTTCTGATCTGATTTCCAACAGAATGCCAGGCTTTCTGATTTATTACATGACGGGGTTTTTTTGTTTGTTTTTGTTTGTTTTTTGTTTTGTTTTTTTTACTGTCAGTGACTATTATCCAAACAATCCCAGCAAAATCCATCAGTGACGGAAGCAGGATCTGAAAATTGGGGGTGCCCTTTACAATACAGTGTGTGAAGCTTTTGTATAAAAAAGTTAGCCTATAATACAACAGTTTATTCCACATAACTCAAGAAAACAAATCCACCGTCTTTCTTAAACCCAGCCACCAAGCATTTTCCAGCTGTAAACACATCAGCTCTAACACTAAGCTGAAGCCTGGTCTATTTAGAGATGACTGACTTCCAAGGAAAATGCCAGTGTTTCAGCCCTCCTGTGTACTCTGCCCCAGAAGTAGCTGCATTTCATTAATGAGTGAACAAGTGATCCCACTGTCATCTGCTGGCAAAGGCTACAGCAATGTACTCTCACTATAAGATGAGATGAGGAAAGTCAAATCCAAGCCACTGCTGTGACCAAGACAGATGCAGCTCATTATTTTAGAGCCATGCATGACAATTCCTAAGTGGATTTAGTTAACTTACCCTTCAGTTTTTTCCTCAGGGCCACATAAAACCCTTACAGAGTAGTGACCTTCAACCAGGGTGCCACAGCAGCCTAGGCTGCAGTGAGATCCTTTCAAGGGTGTTGCAGGGTGCCATGCAATATTAGTGCTATTAGGGGTCCAGACACGATTCACATGATAAATCCAGAGATTCCAAGTAGGAATCCATACAGTGCCCTGCTGTGGACCAAGTTCTTTGCAACAAAAAAACTGCTTGAATATATTTTTATAGTAAAAAAACAAGTGAAAATGAAGAGCTGGTATTTTCTGAGGGGCCTCAAGTCTATCGAGGAGTGCCTTGTGTCTAAAAAGGTTGAGAACCACTGATACAGAGGATGGCTTAGCTCTACATCCCTTGGAATTTAGCTACTGACTCCAGTGGAGACAAGGTCTTCATTCTATAGGCATAGGTGGGACTTAATTTGTGTCTATGACTAAGGCACAAGAGTCACTTTTGCTCACAGCATTTCTATGATCAATCTTTCAAGATGACATCTCACTCCATTCTGCCACTATTGTGCTGTTTTCCTTCCTCAGACCCAGCTGGCAAGGTTTGCTATTTATTTAGTGACCACCCGCTAGCCGCTGACCTAACCCTGCTAAGACTCTGTTCCTTCCAAAATGTAAATCCTCCACTGGAGCCAGGCCCAAGACTCCAGTTTTTTTCAATGGCTGTTTGCTTAAAATTGAAGACTCATACTGCCTACCTAACATGCCTACCAGTTCCTGCCCTCAGCACAGCTCTGGGCCTGCTCTGCACCTAGGTGTCTAGCTACAGGAAGAAGCATGAAAAAGAGATAGGCATAAACTTGGGAGTAAAAGGAAGTGAAAGCTGTAATCCAGAGGCAGGAGGAGATACAGTTGCCTGTGGGACACCAGTGCTTCGTTAGAGACCTGACCATGTGAATACTCACGCCTGGGTTTTTGGCAGTCTGCTTTGATGATGTCAGTGGTCACTCGATGCAGTTCCTTGTCATGGTCAGTCACCTGGAAGACACAAGAGAAAGCAGGGATTCACAGGTGCCTACTGCACAACATGCACATTGTTACAAGCAGATCATTAAAAATCCTATGCCAAGCTAACATAACCAAGGCACACCTTTGTGCTTGTGCTACACTAAGAAAAAATGACAGTAAACATTATCTTAGGGCTAACTAAACAGCATGAATAATTTACAGGAATGACATATGAGCATCAGTCACAAAGGAGAGGGAGGGATACAGTACAGGAATGTAGAGTGATCAAAGGCACTGCTGGAAATCCCATGGAGAACAGGCATTGTGCTGCCACATCCAGCTCAACTATATTAAACCCAACGGAGAGTAGTACCCTTACATTCACATAACGAGGCAGCCCCCCGAGGACCACTAGAGTGTTAGCTTGCATCTCCTTTCTGCTAGCATCCAGGGTGGTCTCTGAGCAGATGGGCCCACACATTAAGTGTAGGGAAGGAGTATGGAGTTGATTGCCACTGGCCACCAGACAGAGGCACCAGCTGTACAGCTAATGCTCTCACAAATGTACACGTGCACACACACGCACAAAACAGTACACCTACTGCAGCTGCACTGGTAATGAGCACCAGTGATGCTTCCTGAGCATACAGATTGACCCTATTAGGCCAACCTTCCCCTTCTGAAACTATCTTGCTGCTTCTGGGGCTACACTACACAGCCACACTCCAGAGTGCTTCCTGCTGGTAGTACAATCATAGCATCCAGCTACACATCTTCCCAAGCACAGCTCCACAGGCAGATCCAAGGGGGGTGCACATACATCCCGCTTTGATTCCCAGTCCACCAAAAGATTAAAACCAACTGCCTAGCAGTGGCAGCAACATTTCTAGTCAGGCAGTGCTGGGGGTATGTCACTTCACTTCATAGCTCATTAACACCTACCTGATCCCTTCTAAATGCTTCATCCCACAGGTGTTAATGACCTTCTCATCTTTTTAATAGTCTTGATGTTCCACCAATCAAACTATAGTTTGTTCTCCATTCTCCTGTCTCTTAGTTGTTCCTGGTAATGAACCTCCTATTTCACAGCCCTGCAGATTGTTTTTAAGTCATCCCAATGAAGTTACATTTGTTTTTGCTTCAATCTTAAACTGAATAATATAGCCCTAAACCCACTGCATATTAGTAAACCTTCTAGATTATTTTTAATTGGAGAAAAAGGTGTCATTTTGTATGTGATGATGCACCTCGCCATCTGCACCCCCCTTTTCAAAGTTCTAGATCCACCCATGTGCAGTTCATTTCCTTACGTGATACAGGTCTCTGGAACATTTTGATTTCTGGAAAATGACACCTTTGTCTTGCAGCACCTTTATTGCTTCCTTGAATGCACTGTGAATCAGCTTGGAGCGGGGTTCGTTTTCTGAATCCATCTGGGTGAGAGAAAGGAACATGGAAGGTGTAAATCCAGGCCTGACTGAAGTCAGCTTAACAAGGGCCAGAATTTCACCCAGTATTAAGGCAGATATTTCTGTCAGGTCAAAAATCCACAGATCACTTCATTAAAATCTCAGGCTTGTAGAAAGTAAGAGACGCTCAAGTCTTTGCTGTTATGAAAAGAAATGTTCCAGTCACTTACTGCCTCCCTTATATTTTCTGAAATGGCTGCCACAGAGGCCTCTTTCTTCTTTTCAAATGATGCAACTCACATGACTACTCTAAAGCTTACAGAGTATTTGATTTTTTGGCTAATTAGAAATATACACTTAAAAAGGGGAGGCAGCCGAGATCGAATGTCTTTGCCTGATCTAACAGCTGCAGCCAGGGCTGAGAGAAGCAATATTACAAGAGAGGGAAACACTGATTACATGAGAGAAAAATGAAGGGAGAAAGATGCCTAATAAAACCAGAGCTCTGGGAGGAAAAATTGGGAGGTGTGAAGGAAGTAAAAGGTAATTTTTAAGGGAAGTTTGGGAAAAGGGGTCTGCCTTGAAGAAAGGTGACCCAAGAGCAAAAAGAGATAAGCGAGGAGGATCCTGTGGCGTGAAAGGCATGAGAATGGAGGGGTGTGTGCTGTACATGCAAGGAAGTATAGGTACTACTTAGCAAAAAAGAGGAAAGAAGGGAAAGGCATGAAGCAAGAAAGCCAGGAAAAGCAGGGCAAAGCTAAGCTGGAATGAAATGGAGGGTAACAAATAGCAGAGGAAGAAGTTTAAGGTAAGGGTTGCATAGGTTGGTGAGGGCAAGAGCATGATCTAATCTTCTCCACTCACTCCATGCTACCATGCTACCTCATGCC